TCCTTCCGTAAGCTGTGAGCTCATGAACGAGGGGCAGGTTACGAGGGAAAGGGAACCACACTCACACTGACGCCGTCTTCTTCCAGCTCCGGTGCTGCCTTTCGATCCCCTCGCGAACCTCCACAGCGACTCAGAGCATCCCCATTACCCCACGGTGCCTGGGGCCAGCATGGACGTGGCCAACGTGCAGCCCGTTCGGTGTCCAGACCTCGGGCCCTGCTCTCCCAGACCTCACACACTTCCAATGGGCTTTGAAGAGCCCCCCCCCGGGTCCTTTACCCGCAGCAGCCGCTCCCCAGCAGGGGAGGCAGCCGGGCAGCACTCACCCGTCCTTGTCGTCGTAGAGGTCCCTCAGGTTGCCGCTCACCTCCATGTACCTCTGAGAGACAAAAGCAAACCCCAAACGATGCCGCCAGGGCCGGGCACAAAGCAGAGCCCAGCCCGGTGCCGGTCCCGGTGCACTCACGTCCTGCATGGCCCGGGTCCGGTGGTCCGAGTTGATCTGGTCGCGGAGCTGAGGGCAGAGGAGCGGAGGGTGAGAGCGGGCAGGGGCCGGGGCACGGGTCGGGGTCGTGGGGTCGTGGGGCCGCGGCCCCGCACGCACCGTGGACTTCTTGGTGAGCATCTCCTTGACCATGACGTCCATGAGCCGCTCCCGCTCCTCGTGGTACCGCCGCTGCTGCTCCAGGATCGTCTCCATCCTCCCGCACCCCACCGGAACTCCGCCGCTTTCCTCTTCCTCTTCCGCTCCCGCCAGCGCAGCGCCGGAAGCTTCCGGCCGGGCCGTGTGGCCGCGGAGGGAGGTTCCGGCCGCGGGGGGTCCGCGGTGCCCGCAGCGGTTCCCACCCCGCGCACTGCAGCAGGGGCCGGGCAGGGCTCGGGATGAAGCCCCCATGGGGTCCCCCTTGCCCACGGCCACCACTGACTGCAGGGGCGGTGACTGCAGCCCTGCCCTGGGCAGCCTGTTCCAATGCCTGAGCACCCTCTGGGGCAGGAATTGTTCCTCAGCTCCATCTAAACCTGCCCTGGGGCAGCTTGAGGCCGTTTCCTCTTGTCCCATCCCTTGTTCCTTGGGAGCAGAGCCCAGCCCCTCCTGGCTCCATCCTCCTCTCAGGCAGTTGTAGGCAGCGATCAGGTCCCCCCTGAGCCTTCCCTTCTCCACACTGAACCCCCCAGGTCCCTGACCCGTTCCCCATCACACTTGTGCCCCATTCCCTGCTCCAGCTCTCCCAGGGGTGGGTGCGCATCCAGGTGCTGGGAGCCAGCGCTGTGCAGTGACCCCGCGGGAGCTCAGCCCCGCTCCACCGTGCGCCGAGCTCAGCACCGGCACCCCCGGTACCCGCAGCACACGGCGTTGTGGAGCGCCCCCTGCAGCCGGGTTGAGGCAATGGCAGGGCAGGCAGCGGCACCCAGCGGGACCGACCCGGTCCTTCCTTCCCCTTGGGTGTTCATTGCCCCCCTGAGCGCCGAGCAGAGGGTGCCGGCTGCACCGCCAGCGTTAACCTGAACCTCAGCAATGGGTGAGCCATCCCTATGGTTAGAGCAGGAACGGGGAATGACCTCAAGACGAAAGCGACAAGGAACTGGGCTTAATTCTGACAGACAAACGTGATCCTGCCCTGGGAACAGCCAATTCACTGCAGAGAGAACGGTGCTGAAGGTACCGGTGTTGCCTTTAATCACCCTTTAGGCTGCCCCAAAGGACGGCAGCTCCTCCTCACGGATGCCTGTCTAAAAATAAAGAGGGAGATAAGATTCTGAACTCTGTGTTCTTCCCTTTCCCTTTGCGTGAAACCTCATCCCTGGAAAGGGAAGGAGCTCAAAGCCAGCAATGTCCCGTCGGCCAATAGGGCCTCTTTATTTGGGGCTGCTGGCATTAGGAGGGTCAAGGTGGGACAAGAGCAGCCCCTGCGTGACCTCCCTGCTCCTCACACTGTGCATGGTGCCCCTCGGTGCAGTTTGTGCTCACAGGAGGGACAGCACAGTTTTCCTGCAGGGAATCCTATGGGATGCTCCTTCCCCACCTCCTCAGGACCTTCACTATGGGACAAAGGGACAACCAAAAGAGACCTGGGGGATGCCTGCAGGGTCCGGCCTGGCTGTAACCACAGCCCTCTCTCCTGACTTGAGACAGAGGAGAGCCGTTCACACTGGAGCACTGGCTCTCCCACCAGCCTCCAGCCCAGCACCATCACCTGGAGGTGCTGGTCCATGCCGCTCCAGTCACCCGGAGGGATGCAGAGGTCCAGACAAGGCCCGACAAGGACATAACCTGGCTGCTGCCCAGACCTGCGTGCAGCCACGGCTGGAAACGGGGCAACCACCAGCAGGGAGCTGGAATCAGCCCTTCCTTCCCTCCTGCCCAGCCGCAGGCAGGAGCAGCTTTAACGCTGGGGCCCCTTTCTCCACCCCAGCCCTGGAGTCCCAGCGAGTCCCCCTGCTCCCTCCTCAGCCCAGCCTGTGCTCAATCCTCTTTTCCTGGCTGTTGCAGAGCCGCACTCTGGGAATCTCGGGGGATGTTTGTGCATGACATCACCCTCCCCCTCCTGTAAATCAGGCTCTGGGCCCTGCGCAGCCGTGACCCATTCATGACAGGGATAAAATCCAGATGTTCCAGGCCCCGTGCAGCTGGGGCATTTCCTTTTTTGGCTAAAAACGTGAGGCTCTTGAGGCTGCCTGAAAGAGGAGCCCGGGGGCCCCGTGTACAGGAACCCTTTGTGGTTAATCCCCGGGCCCGGCGCTGCAGGAACAAGGGCTTGCGGTGCTCCCGCTGCAGCGGGGCTGAGGCTGCTCATTCACCTTCTGAAGCCAAGCAAAACCGGGCGCAGGGCAGCTACAGCAGCAAAGCTCTTCCTTGAACAAACCCGTCTGCTGCCAGAGCAGGAGCCTCGGAAGGAGCCAGGAATGTGCCAGGGCCCTCGTTGCCCAGTGCGGCGCTGGAGCAGCACCAGGGGAGCAGGAGCAGGAGCAGGAGCCGGTGCTGGGGGCCGGGGCAAGGCAGGCCCAGAGGAAGCTGTGGCATCCGTTAGTAAATGTAAAGGAATCTGTGGAAAACGGTTTCAGATGTTAAGGAATGAACGGCTCCGCGGCGGCTGCAAGGGAGGAACGAGCAATGCACTGCCCCGGGGAAGGCTGCCAGGAGGAGAGCACTGTTATCCCCATGGAGGTTACAGCAACTTCCCCCCCAAACCTCCTCCCGAGAGCCGCCGGGGGAGTTCGTATGGCAGGGGACAGGGAGCCTGTCTGCGCAGTGGGATGGGATTCCCTACCACAGCGATCCAGACCGGCGCAGGAGGCTGAGCCTGACCCAGCAGCCAGCCTGGAGGCATTGGCCACGTCCTGCCCAGCAGCAGGCACCACGGACACACAGGAACCCACAGCGGGAAGAGGGAGCTGCTGCTTCCCTGCCATAACCCACAGGGCTGGTACTGAGGCTGGGCATGGCCTGGGGTAGGCATGAGCAATGGAGTGGGGGGGTCACCATCCCCAGTGCAGGGTAAGGACAAGGCTGAGAGCTCTGCCCTGTGCCTGCTGCTTAAGAAACACATGAGAACAAGCATCACTAAAAGGGTTTATTATATAAAGCCATAGGAAATACACAGGAGGCTGAGGTTTAGGATACTTCCTTCTTGAGACTGCTCCAAGCTCCTCAGAATAGCAGACACACAAACTCTGATTTGCCTGCATCAAAGCTTTCAACCAAGGGTTCAACAAGGGTCTGAATACACAGTTAATAACACTTCAACATGCATAACATTTGAACGGGCTTTTCTGTTCCTAAATGAAGCCTGGGGGGGGGGGTCTTGCCCCTTCATCCTGCAGTTGGTTACAAAATGACAGATATTGATGACAAAAAGAGTACAAAAGGGAAAAACCCAAACACAAGAAGATGCTTTCAGGAAAGTACACGGTTGTCTAAGCAGGAAAGCAGGGTCAGCAGAAGTGCCCCAGCAAGACAGAAGCAAAAGGGATGCAGGGACAAGGCAGGCAGGAGCATCCCACTGAAGAGGGGGGGGTGTCTTAAGGGGCCCAGGGCCAGCTCAGCCTTGGGGCAAGGATGGCTCAAGATGTCCCATTCTGCAGTTAGGGCCAGCGCAGGGACTTGGGGGATGCAAAGGCTCACGGCAGCCCAGGTGCCACCTCTGCTTTGGGACACAGCGATGCATGAGGGGAGCTGCTGCACTCTGCCCATCGCAGGGGGGACACAGCCCTGGATGCTGCCCCCCACATTCCCAGTCCCTCCCCTCCAGTGCTCCCACCGAGCGCAGCCACAGCCCCACAAAGGTCTGCAGGGTTACGTGTGCTGCTGGCGGTGGGCTCAGCAAGGGGATCCCCGTCCCATGGCAGGGATGGAGCAGGGATAAAGCCCGCAGTGCTCTCAGCCTTCAGCACACCCTTCTCCAGGGCCCAGCCAGGCACATCTCGGGGGGCTGCCCCATGCACTGGAGCTCAGGCACTGCAGAGGCAGCCCTGGGAGATCCCGGCACAGATGGGAACGGGCAGGGAGGAGATGGGGCTGAACACCCTGTACCTGTGAGCGATCCCAGCTCCTCATCCACACCTGAGAGCACCCCCATGGAGCAGAGCAAAGGGTCTGGCCTGCAGTGAGGCGGCTCCAGCAATCCGGAGCTGGCTCCCATCTGGCAGGACACATGCTCATCTCCTGGCCACGCTCCAGCCTGGTGTCCCCTAAGCTCCCTCCACAGCATGCCCTTCATGCCCAGGTCACCACACGTAAGCCATCCACGCTGCAGGCCAGCAAGGCCAAGCTGCACGGACCAGGAGCTGCTGCCTTGTATCACACAGAGCGAGGGAAGCACGTGGGGAAAAGAGAGAAGTCAGCAGCGTGCCAGGGGAGCAAATCCATGCTGCCAGCCTGCAGATCCAGCAGCCCAACGCTGAAGCTGCTGCTGCCCTTTGCTCAGCTGGGGCCTTGGGCTCAGCTTGTGCCTGGTCAGACAGGAAGCAAAAGGAAAGAGTAAATAATGGAAGGGTGGGGGGGATCTTGAAGCTCCTTTTTCAACTTTATTGAGCTCTGGCTCTGCACAGAGCCATAGCATAGCGTACTCTAGCCTTCAGGAGGGGCACAGGAACCCCCTGAACACACCGCGGTTCGGGGTCAGCCCCCATCTCCTGTGCCTTGTGCCCTGCCCCTGCAGTGGTGGTGGGGTGGTCTGGCACAAAGACCCCGAAGAATAGAGAAGGCCCCTGCCCCACGGTGTCCTCGGAGGCTCATAGGTCGCTGCTGCAGTCGCGGCACAGGATCTCGTCGTTGTCAGGGATGAAGCCTTTCCCCACCAGCGAGGTGTTGCAGCGGGCACAGTTAAAGCAATTGTGGTGCCAGTGACGGTCCTCAAAGGAGACGTATTTACCACCACCAAAGCCTGCAGGAGGGGCAGAGAGCAGTGTTAGAACCCCTGGGGATGAGCTTCCCACACAGAGCGAGCCTTTGCCTGCTCCTCTCCGAGTCAGGTCTTCCCCCGCAGTGCTGCACCCACTGTGTTGGCACCCAAACCACCCCAGTGTCAAATACACCTGAAACACAACCAGCACTCCTGGAGGGGAGAAGAGGACCTTGCAAGGACAGGGAACTCCCAGGAAGAGCTCTGCTGCCACCAGCCCCAGCAGAGGCTCTGCGGCAGCTTCCTCCCTCCTCCAGCAGGGGCTGGACTTGTGGGCTCTGACCCCCTTCTCCCAGGGACTGGGGCAAACCGATAAGGGCCAGACGGGAAGCGATGAGCCCAGGAGCTGCCGGGTCCTGAGCCGGAGTCATCCTCTGAGTCACCAGCTGATGAATGCCTTTGCCTGCCTGCCCAAGCAGCAAGAGACAGGAGCTGCAGAGGGAAAGGTCAAGTGGAGGAGAAGAGGAAGGAGGCCAGACCCTCCTAAGGGTTTCTGCAGAAGAGTACCCTCTGCTTCCCCTGTCATAGGCAGGTACAACAGGTTTAGGCTTGCTGCCCCCGCTAGGGCTGGAAGTCTCTGGCTTTCCATGTCTATGAGCAATCTTTCCACAGGGCATGGCAACTAGCCTCAAACAAGGAGAGCTGGAAACACAAGATCACGCTGAGAGAGGTCATTTTGGGAGCCTTTAACCCTGGGCAGAAGGAATTCCTCCCAAGGGGCACAGTTAACCACTTTGGAAGATGCAGATAAAGGGACAGAAGTGATCACAGGACCATTGCAACAAAGAGATTCTCTCTCGTGGGGTTCCTCAGAAGGTGGCTCCAGCTGTTTCTGTGGGGGATATGCCTCAGGGCGCTTTGCACTCCCCAGCATTTGTCCCTGGGAGGCTTAAAGTGCCTGGAGACCTTTGAGCAAGCCTGCGTGGTGGAGACGTGTACGAGCATCATATGGATGTGGGTGACACGTGCACACAAGAGGGTGCACCAGAGAAGTCACCACCTGTCAGATGGCCTGAAACAGGGCAGGTAGGTCATGCAGAAATGCCCTGTCCCCAGAGCTGCTCTGCTCACCTGTGATGGGCTTTGTGCAGGCACTGCACTTCTTGGCATAGAGGTTCCCAAAGCACTTGATGCAGTAGGGGTTGTCATCCTGGGAGGTGAACTGCTGGCCAGCCAGGGGGGTCTTGCAGCCTGTGCAGACGAAACACTCCTTGTGCCACGGCTCATCCCGGTAAGTCACTCCTCCCTTGGTCAGGGTCTGCAGGAAGGGAGCACACACTGGTGACACATGGGGGTGCTGGAGCCTGAACCCTTCTCTGGTGAGGCTCAGACAGGAGTAGGGAACATATCCCTAGATCCAAGAACTCGGGGGCTATGGGCTGTCGGGTCCCACGTACCTTTTTGCACCGAGTGCAGCGAGGAGCAAACTTGCTCTCATAACAGGGCACACAGTAATAATCCTTCTTGTCTGGGATGAAGGAGCGTGACCCAATGGGCTGCTGGCAGCTGCTGCATATGAAGCAATGCTCGTGCCAGGTTTGTCCGTTGTACTCCAGCTTACGGGATCCTGCGGAGAGAGTTCACGGTGACAGGAGGGAGCAGCACTTGCACACACATGGGCGCTGTGAAGTGGCCCTGCACACCCAGCTCTCTGCCTGCCCGCCCTGTGGCAGCACCGGCCCGCAGGCAGCTGCACAGGGACACCCTGCCCGCCCCACAGCCCCGAGGGGAGGGCTGCAGGAACATGCCCCTAGCACCAGCACACAGGCCAAGGCAGACGCCTGTTGTAACCTATATGTGAAGATGGTGCCAGAATGGCCAAGCAAAGACACGCTTTTGCCTCGGGCCACCTCCAGAGACGCTCACACACCTTCAGTCATTCCTTCTCTCCTCGTCAGCACACACCAGGAAATGCCCAGGAAACCCTTTGTTATCTCCCCCCCCAGCTCACTTCCTCATGGAAACAGCAGCAGCCACAAAGGGCTGCCGTGGTGATCGCAGCTGGGCAGACAAGCAAAGTGCCAAGGGAACAGAAATTCATCTCTCTCCCTTGCTGCCCCACTGTTGGACCACACAGCCCCACCGCTGCTGGGACCAGGAACCAACTGCAGTGCCTGGCTCTGCCTGCTCCTACCTGGCATGACTGTCTTCTCGCAGGCAATGCATTTGGAGGAGAACTCGCTGCAGTAGCAGTCGTTGCACAGCAGCTCCTCTCCTTGGCAGGTGAAGGGCTCATCAGCCAGGGAGCGATCGCAGCGGAAGCAGCGGAAGCAGTGCTCGTGGTAATGGCGATCCTCATAGTAGAGCTCCTGCGGAGGAGAGCGGAGGTGAGGAGGGGACCCATCACCCAGGGACCACCCTGCCCAGCCCCGGGGTCCCCCACTCACTCTGCAGTCGTGGCCGATCAGCTCTTTGCACTCGTCGCAGGTGTTGGCGAAGTGGGCATCGTAGCAGGGGATGCAGTAGGGGCCGTTGTCCATCTGGATGTACTTGCGCCCATACAAGGACTCCTTGCAGTTGTCGCAGTCAAAGCACTCTGTCATGGTGCCAGTCTGAGGGCCTCCTTCACCTGCTAAGAGATCAGCATTGATGCTGGGTCACTATCAGCTTACGCTGCCCGAGATGTCCCTGCACAGCCCTGCCATCTCCAGAGGACAAGGACCCTGAACCCCTGCACGGAGCCAACACCAGGACAGGCCCCAGCCCCGAGCTGCTGCTCCTGCGCACAATCAGGGCCTGGGATGAGCCTTGCTTTAGGTTTATAATCAAGTTCAATACTTGGAGCACCGCTCAGAGGAACCCTGACACATGAGCGTGCAGCCAGAAGACAGCTCCTCACTGTCTGCCTCCTTGCTGGGAAGCACAATGTAAATGAGGACCAAAAGAGACAATGTTCGTGCATTGAAAGCTTTAGGTTTGGCACTGAAAACAGGACCATGCACACGCTGTGTGGGTGCACATCCACCGTCACATCCGAGAGCCAGCCACCTGCAGGGAGACCTGCTTACCAAGACACCAGCATGGCCCTGGACCAACAGCAAGATTCCTCCTGCCAGCCCGGGAGCCGATGCTCTGCCCCACGGGGCTGTCAGGAATTCCAGTTCTGGAGCTTCTCCAGGACTTTCAAGCAGCTGCTCCACAGGGGAGCAGGAAGCAGGGACCCCACAGGGCTGTGCCCAGCTATCCCAGCAAACTGCTTTGCACACATTGCTCCATCTACAACCACTCCTCAAGGGGAAAGCGCCCAGGAGGACGGGCGGTTTACGAGCAGCAGAGGTGCTGCGTGCAGATCAGAGCTCGCTCCTTGCCCCTGGTCTCCCTCCGAGACAAGAGGTTTGAGGAACTACTTCACTTCCTTCGGAGCACGAGCTCCAGAACAAGAGGATCTTCCTCCTGTTTGCTTTAGCCTGGTTATTCCTAAATATGGAGTTTTCCACTTGCAAAATCACACCCTGCTTTAACACAGGTCGCTGTCAAGTGCGGACAAGCCCGTGGAATTACATCGGAGCCATCAGCAGCAGAGTGCCACACGCTGCAGTTTTCTTCGTGAACCCACCCACTTCAGAAAGAGCTGCTATGGCTCAACCTAGCATTTAATGGCACACCAAGCTCATGGCCAAGCCTCCCCGGCCATCTCCCTTAGGCTGGGAGGCAGCCTCCGGGACAGAAGCCGATCCAGACAGCTCTGACTCACGGCCGCCGGCTCCCCAGGGCTATTCTTGGTCAAGCCACACAGCTCCCAGCTGTTGTCAAGCCTGGTATGTGCTGATAGGCCTGGTGGTGAATAAATCCAGTGTTCCCACAGGGCTACGTGACCAACGGAGGGGGAACAAAGTCCCTTTTCAGACACTGGGGACCCAGCTGCCGCCCGCCCCGTGCCCCGCAGCGTGGCATGCTGCTGCGCGTGGCTGCGGCTGCAGGAGCAGCTCCGTGGCTTGCCCCTGCGAACAGCGTGCCCTTGGGGCCATGGCTCCACCACCAGTGCCCCAAAGCAGCAGCTCCAGGCTGTTGCCAGCTGATGGGTGCCAAACTGGCCCCGCTGCCCAGCTCTGCCCTCCTTCTTGGGCATCCCATGAGGTGCTGAGCCCACCGGGCTGCAGCCTCCATGCTCCCTCAGCAGCCTGCGTGGCTCCTGGCCACTTCTCACCCACCTCTGCCACCCCACTTGCCTTCGCTCCCTGAAGGTGCCTGGGACCTTTCTCCCTGGCAAAGAATGGAAATCAAATTAATAACCCTCCTCCTCCTCAGCCCTGCTGAAGGGAACTTTCCAAGGTGTGTCTGTAATAAAAGGGCCTCTAATGAGCACTCCTACCCTGGGAGCGACGGTACCGCCGCAGTTGGGAGCTGCCGTGTTTGCTCAATGGGCTGTGCTTTATCTCCGTGGTCCTGGAACAGGGGGTCAGAGGACGTGAGAAAACACAAGGGAAGGCAAAATAACTTCAATGGAGAAGACTTGGATTTTCCAAGGACTCGGCCTCCTGTGCCTGACACCGTCCATCCATGAGTGTCGGGCCCCAAGCTCAAACCAAGGGACAGCACTTCCCTGTGTCACAGGGATGGGAGGTGAGCAGATAAACCCAGCCAGTGCTGAACCACAAACCGCCCTAATGAGGCAGGGGCTGTGCCCAGCTCCACGTGCACCCTTGGAACCCAGTGCCAGCACCCACAGGAACCCTACAGGTGGGAGCACCAGCTCCATAGCGAGTGCTCAGGACCTGCTCTCCCAGTGCAGCTGAGCTGTCACCATCATCAAGCCCAGGATTAAAAGTGACAGGACAGGAACACTTCAATCCCAAATGCTGTCACCCAGGCTCCTGGCAGTGCCAGGACTCATCTCCTCCACCACCACCAAGGGCCGCTGGCACTCCTGAGCCCACCGATGCTCTCCACCAGCACTCACCGGCCATACCGGAGGTCCCTCGCAGGATGCACGACACAGAGGAAGCGAAAACCATACGATAACGTGGAAGACTCTTGCTCACCCCCACTTGGAGCAGTTTCTCCCCCAAATCTACCTATACCTGCTGCATGCTGTGCAAGCCAAGCTCCTGCTCTCAGGCTCTGGAGTCAGAGCCCCTGGCTGATGCAGAGCAAGCCCCAAGAGCATGACGTGGCCGAGACTGCTGTGAGAGTGGATGGGATCAGACTCCAGGATGCCTCTTCCACAGAAGAAACGGAACAGCCCCAGGAAGTTTGCTCGGGGTTATTTGTACTAGATAAGCTGTTTGCTCTCTTTGTTCTGGTCTCCCATGCAGTGCTGGGCAGGGGTGTCAAAGGCCTGTGCAGTGCCAAAGCAAACTCTGCATCTTCGCACACCCCCACCAGGACACAGCAGTGCTTGAGACCAAGTTCATGGACAAGAGGGGGGTGGGACAAAAGAAATGGGAATAAAAGAAAGAGTACAAAAGCCCCCAGTTCTTACTGTGATTGTGGTGAGGAACCTGGAAATTGTCTCCACTGGTGAAGAAATGCATTCACAACCCCCTTTACTGAGGCTCAGATTGAGAAGTCACAATACAGGCAGTTACGATGTGCTAATTCACATGTGCTCATCCCACTTTGCAGTCTGCCCTGCCCTGTAAACATTAGCTGGGATCAAGGGTGACGTAAGTAACGCCTTCAAATACTAAGCAAGGTGTTGCCCTGAAATGATGGGATTCCAGTTGCTAAGAGAGCCTTTGCTTGCCCATTACTGCATGGCTGCAGTCCCTGTGGGACAAGGAGCGAAGCAGGTCCCTCATACGTGGGGACCATGGAGCTGGGTGTGGGGTATTCTCCCAGCTGTCTGAGGGCAAAAATAAACAACAGATATATGCCTGCCAGCTGCCTAGCCTTTCCCTCTGACAGATATAGCTGTGCTCATGGAAGAAAGGAAGTCCAGTTCCTCTCCTGTGCCCATGAACAGCTTTGGGAACAAGAGGCCCTCTCACAAACAACATTTAAAGTGCTCCAGGATGCAAATCTGATCAGTCTGGAACAGAGCTCAGAATAGCTTCATGTATGGGGAAAGGTCAGCAATTTGTCAAGGACACCCAGCCCAGTCCACTTTCTAATTAGAGAGTAACATGCACCTAACACCACCCTGGTGTCACTGTCCACAGCAACACAGCAGGTGGCTTAGCAACAGCCCCAGGAGATGAATACATTCATTTTAGTGTCCATAAACTGGGAAGCTATTATGCAAAGGAAGCAGCACAGAGTGTCCAGGGCCAGGCTTTCTGCTGCACGCAGTCACCGAAGGGTTTCACCTCCCTTTTGAGATGATTCCTGCTGCAGGGAACTCCTCCAGGGAGAGGTCTCATGTACATGGTGAACCTGCAACCCTGGGCAGCTTCACACCAGGTTGGGGTTTGTTGTCAGGTCACAGCCAGCTGCTCCACCAAGTGATCCTAGAGCAGCCCATAAGGCTATTCCTAGGGAAACACTAAATCTTCCCAGGACACAGGAACAGACCTGCCTTTAGCTGTTGGGTTCCTGCCTTTAGCTGTTGGGTTCCTGCCTGTTCTCTTCCCTGGGTTGCTCTGAGCCCTGCTTGTGCAGTTGTAGCTCACACCTAAACAGAAGAGACAGCACAACCTTGCTGGGACAGGCGAGTGTTCCCCATGTAAGGATGAAACCGCCCAGGGCCAAGGCTTTGGAAGATGGTCCTCAACACGCTCCAAGGTCAGAGGAGGAGGAGAACGCTTTTTGTTCCCGTTGCCTTTCCAGAACCATTATGGGTCCTGGAATCTGCATGAAATTGTTTGTGCCTGCCTCTGACCCTAAAAGGGAAACCAGCTGCTTGCCCTGAGGAGCAGCTCCAGCCCCTCTGTTCCACTGGGAACGTTTTTAGTCCTGACACTGCTCCTGCAGATCTGCTCAGGGTCACTGCACACCCCAGCCCAGGCTCTCCAGGGTGGTGGGGACCAGCTCCATAGGGCACTGTGCACCTCCTCATGCTGCTGCCTCTCTCTGTGCTCTCTTGCTCTGCTCCCAAACCCACAAGCACAGCTGTAGACCTGGCACGGTGGGAACAACATCCCCCATCTGCTGTTAAAGGAGATCCTGCTTTCAGGTGAGAGGCTGGAGGCAGCTTGCCAGCAAGGTGCTGAGTGTTTCATCAGCGCAGCCCAGCCTGCACAGAGCACCCTCAGGAGCAGTGTTGCATCAAGCCTTCACCCGCCTGCTTGGAGCACCACTGAGTCACTTCCTGCCCTTGGATCTCACCTTGGATCCATCTTCCAGCACTGAGCCTCCCCATGGACAGCTCGGAAATCTCAAGGATGAAGGGCTGCTCTCGAGGGGTAAAGTCCTTACAAGGACCATGGGCCTCACCCATGGGCAGCTCCCCCATCCCCAGCACAGCAGGAGGATGCTGCAGGTCGTTTCTCCAACACACAGGGAAGATTTGGTTCGTACAGACGGAGGAGGAGACAAATGAATCAGCTGCAGCACTGGGATGCTGTGCTTGTGCATGCACCAAGCTTGCACCACAGTTGTTTGCCCAAGCACGGGCAAACCAACCTCCTGCCCAGGCTGCTCTGGGCTCTGCAACAGATTTAGTGAAATGCCTGGCACAGTTGTAAGGAAACACCCTGCATTTCCAATGAAATCAGTGCTGTCCGAGTCACCCTGGTCAGCAAAGCAGGCAGGCTCCTGAAAATGCCCACGACATGGAGAGGAACAAGTAGCAGAAACTGTTCAAGCCTCTGGGAAGTTACAAGGAAGACCTAGGTTGTTGCACGAGTTTAACACAGCCTTAGCATGGCAAATTGAGGGTTTCCTAACATTCAGAAGGGACCTCTGAGGTTTCCTCTAACCAAAGAGCGAAACCGCATCACGTGGACTCCTCCCGACCGCTCTGCAGACAGACCGTGATGAGTGCTAAAATCACAACTGTCCCTCAAATGTCTGCTCTTCCCCTTAAACCAACAAAGCCTCACCTGCCTGCAGCACCCAGCCTGCCCAGAGGCGCTGCAGGAAGCGCTGCACTGTTTGCACAGGCTCAGACATCACACCCGGTCCAAGGCGAGCAACGGCAAACGGCCACGGCAAGGCTGAGCAGTGCCTTCACAGGCAGAGGGTTCCAGGAGGTGCTGCGAAGGGCAGGTACACAGAGCCCAGTCCTGCCCCAAAGCAGCTTCCTGCGGGGAGGAGAGGCTGAGGAATGAGGTTACAAGTGCAACGAGGAACACCCCATAGAGACAAAGGCCAGCTCTGGTAAATGCAGCACGAGGTGCCCTCTGCCTCAGAAAACAGGCTGAGACACAGGCTGAGAGGCAGGAAGCATCTTTATCACTTTATCCATTAGTGACATGCTGATGTTTATTTGCTATATCAGCACTATTCTACAGAGGAGGAGGTGATGGGATGCATCTTCAGGAGGCCAGGCTCGCTTTCACACTGCCCTGGAACACCAGCAGTGCTGATCCTGGGAGGAAAATGACCACTGCTCTAAGACTCCAAAGATCTGCAAAGCAGCAAGGATTTTAAGGTTTAACTTCCTGAATTACCAGAAATGATTGGCCACATCTCTCAGAAAGGCCAAAAACAGGAGACCATACGCAGAGTCAGCACACTGCACAAGGAAGTAGTTTTGGCCTTGATGTGCATACAGACTCCACTAGATATGGTCTGCAAGAAATCTTGACATGGACGAGAGGCTGTCTGGAAGCCCAAAACTCTGCTGTGGTTTCAAAACACCAAGGAGTTCATAGACCTTTTTCCTCTAAATCCTTCATTCTGTCTCCCAAGATAAGGGAACATAACCCAAAAGTTTTCCTATGTGAAAGGAAAACCTGCTGTGAATAAGTCAGGCTCTCACAAGGCAGCATCCCCATACAAGGTAATAGGACAAAGCCTGAAGCAGTATTTGCGCACACTGGGACTTTTGTCCCTTCTCTACCCTTTAAAGAAAGAATCTCTTTTTAATGAGGCCACAGTTGCAGGGGAATCCAATTTTCCATGCTACAGTGGAAAACCAGGCACGTTTGCCCATCTGAGAGTCAAATTGTAGCTTCCTGTGGCCAAGACCTTGCTTTTTTTTGCTTTTCAGCCGCTTTTGTCCCTTTCCTCCTCAGATCTGCCCTGTCCGAGCAGGTCCCCTGCATCCAGCTGCGAGCTGAAGCATCTGCACAGGGAGCATGAAGATACGTGCTTTGGAGGAAGAGAAACAGACCTGTTCAAACAGCAGCAGTGAGAAATGCCAGGCTTCCCAGGGGTGCTGGTCACCTTCCAATATCCCAACCAAGGGACAGCAGAGTGCAGGCTCACAAGGAGAAAGGCAACAGTAATTCCAGGCCTCCCTCTAGACTTATTTTCTTTAGGGAAAGTTAATCCTACTAGAGTTAAAGAAAGAAGCTTAAGAGCCCCTTCTATGCACCCATAAAATGAAAAGCTCTGCCCAGGAGGAGAGGATGCAATGATTTAAGAGTTAAAAGTCATTACTAAAGGCAGGGGGTAACGAACTATTTCAGGTTCTGAACAAAATCCTCCCTCTACAGAGAGCAGCTTGGACCAAGGGTGGCACCAACAGCAGCGGAGCGGTTGGGCCGCATTCAGAACAAGCAGCCTGTGCCATTCTGCTGACATCAAAACTGAATGTTTGCTCAAGAGATCAGCTGTTAATCTCCTTCTAAATGTATACAGAGCAAGCAAATTCTGCATGCTCAACAGGAAGTCTGGAATTGAAACCATTTGGGCAGTTCGGACCTGTCGGGACTCAAACAGACCACTGAGCTGAAGGAAGAAGTGCAAGAGGAGTAAGGTACGGACGCATCAGAAGCTTCTCCCAGCCAAATGAAGTCCTTTTTAGGGATGGTTAAGGAACCTCTGGCTTAAAAATGTGCCAGAAGAGATTCTGGCCAGTGTCTGAAGAGGCTGGGGAAGAAAGAGAGACTGCCTGCCCCAAGCTCCATATCACAGGTACTTTCCCCTGCCACGTGCAATGCTGGCCAAGCAGGAGCCTGCTGCCAGCAGCAGCTTACACAATGCAAACCTGCTAGTGAAGCTCATCACTGCTGCAGAACAGCAGCTGTAGACATGGCCGGGGTGACCGTAATAGGAAGAAAGATGCTGGAGCCAAGTTTCAGGGAGTGTCAGTGATCACAGGATCAGAGGAGCGAGAGTCATGGTCCAGGGAAGCTCCATTGGCTTATGGTGCCTCAACAGCCCTGGCACAAACA